ACAAAAAACAGAGAACATTCCCAACTTGTTTTATGAGACCAGTATAACCTTGGTAGTAAAATCTGTCAAGGATGTTCCAGAAATTAACTATTGGTGGCTTTTATAAATATAGATATAAAAATCATAACAAAATTAGCAAATTTAAATCCAGGGGCATATAAAAGACAGTAGGTCACACCTGAGTTGAATACACACATACCAAGAATGCACAGCTGGCTTCAGATGTGACAATACATCAATGCACTGAACTAACAGTGACATTTCTATTCAAGAGTTCTTTAACTTCAATCTCTCAATCATTCAAACTGGTATTTTTGTAAATTTCCGTTAGTAGAATAAACCTCACACTGTTCTCAAAATATATACTACCTGTGGAAGATAACAAAATGGAGGATAAAGAAATAAAGAAGCTGATAAAATGAAAACAAACATTGTTGCCAATCATGAAAATAAAGGCTCAGCACACACAGCTTCTCCTCATTCCTTCCCTTACTTGGGGAGGGCAATAAGCTTGGAAGTTGCCCCAGAGCAATGTGGTGGCACAGGTGGTGTCCTCAGCGGGTCCTAGTGTGTCTGTGAGAAAGCCATCATGAACAGAACCAAAAGCAAAAGGGAAACGCCTGGCCTTCGCAGGCATTCTCAGTGTGTTTTACACACGTGAGGATTCTGAGTGAGCGCCAGGAGAAGACAGAGGAAGGGCGGCTTCATACTCCTCTCTTGAGCAGGCTTTCTTAGTCAAGGGTTCACAAACGGGCTTCAGGAAGCCCATGAAAAGTGTGAAATCACATACAAAATGGTGTATTCATATGCACAGATGCATTTTTACAGTGAAAATGTAAATGGATTTAATCAGATACTCACAAGAACCCAATACCCCACAAGACTGCCAACATCTGACATAAAAACTGATCTGTGACTAGAAGCCAAAGTCAGCCCTCACCACGAACTATGAGGTGACCCAAAGCCCAATTCTTCTTTGGCACTTAACAAAGTTTCATAGTCTTTCTTTTCTCAGTACAACTAAGGGCTGGTCCATGGTAACCTACGAAGTGAATCATTAAGAGGCACTAAAATCGTAATTTATAACCTAAACATGGGGTATTACTAGACTTTAGGGAGGTCTAATTCAGTACCAAGAAGTGAGGCTCCTGTGCAAAGCTGCAAAGCTCAGTAACATGCTCGCGTCCGGGGGCCACAAAGTCCTCATCCTCAGAAACAGCATTTTGTTCAGTATCAATGACAGCTTTATTTATAATGGGTTTTAATTGCCAACATTCTTGCTTTTATAATTTCAATGTTAGTTTTCTCATTTTCACACTTGTTTAATGTGGGTTGTTTGCGTATACAATGATGAAAATTTATAATTTCAGGAGCCATAATTTTTCAATAACTTGTAAGTATCATGTCACCTCCATCTGTATTTCAAAACAGATATATAGAACCTCCCCTAAATTGTTGGCAATGTGCTGATTAAGAATATATGAAATTTAACTAACTTGCAACACACCATCAAGGCAAAGGTAACAAAGTTACCCAGCTATTTTTAAGTTTGTGGCCACACTCTTACATAATAAAGTAAAACATGTCTCATAAGGACTTACATACCAAATGTACTTGAACTGGCTCATTTAACTTCATCCCAATTCTCTGATAATGTTGAGTGATATTTCTACTGGAGAGCAAGAACAGCCACTGGTAAAGGTGACCAAGGCACTAATTTTGCCACTTACAGTGATCTATAAAGGCTTTTAAGCTAGGCACAGTGGCGTGCTCAGCACTTTAGGAGACCAAGGTGGAAGGATGGCTTAAGCCTAGGAGTTCAAGACCAGTCTACACAACATAGCAGGACTCCATCTATACAAAAAATTTAAAAATCAGTCAGTCAAATGTGGCACGTGACTGGGGTCCAAGCTACTTGGGAGACTGAGACAGGAGTATTGCTTGAACCCAGGAGGTAGAGGCTACAGTGAGCCATGGTCACACTACTGCACTCCAGCCTGGGCGACAGAGCGAGACCCTGCCTGTAAATTAATTAATTAATGAATTAAAAGGGCTTTTAATTCAAAATGGTGATAAAGTACACAGTATCTTTTCTCCATCCTTCTCAGGACTCTGTTAAAATGTCAGAAGAGGTACTTTTTGGTGGTGAATGAACCATAATAGTGCATGGTGCTAAAAATTTACAAAGGGATTTAGCAGAAGGCAAGAAAGCCTGCCTGGGCTTTTAGGGCATAAGGCAGATGAAAGTCCGTTGAATGGAAAAGCAGAGAAAACTACAGAGCAAGACAACAGAGGTAAGGGGTCTTCCCAAGATCCCAAGAAGTAGGAGCCGTGGGTAGCTCTTTTATTCCTGGGCTAAAACTTGAGAATCCCTCTCCAAAGAAAGCCTGAGGTTTTCAAAGGGGTGATCCCAATATGGACATGCAGGCTGAAAGAGAAGCAGGTCAGGGTGCAGGGTAATGAAAAATCAAACCGTCAGGACTTGAAGCCCAGGGAGAGAGAGAAGGAGAGAGTAGAAGACATTTACCCGCAATAGAACAAGGATCAAACAGACATACAACTTCTCATTAACAACACTAGACTCTGGAAAATAAGAGAGTAGTTTCTGATTTCGAAAGGAAAATTACATGATCCTAGAAGTCTAGACCCCACCAAATTATCAAGATGTATGAGAACAAAATAACTGCATGTTGGAAGATTATGTACAAAAACCCAAGAAGTCTGTCAGCCATGCATTCTATAAGGAAGTGGATTAAGGAGGTGCTCCAGCAAAACAAAAATAGAATCCAAGAAACAAACACCATGGGATAGGAGAAACCATGGCAACTGAGGCAGCCAGAAATAGCGGACACCTAAAGTGAAACTTGGAGTTTCATCTCAATATTCTTTCATTGGCAAAGGTTTGGTGAGGCAGAATTCCACTTCATACCACTTGGTTCTATGGCAAAATATATTATCACAATACTATAAATGTTGCTTTCCTTATATTAAAATGTTTAGACTACCCTTGCAGAAAAAGCACAGGGAGCCTAATGATAGATGGGGAACACTATAAATGTTTTAAGCCTTGTCAGTATAAATCTCACCAAAAGTAAGAGTGTAAAGGCACTGCCTGTTGACCCCCAACATGAATTCACAAATAGAAAAGTTAAAGGTATAATGGTGACTACAAGAAGAACTTAATACAAGAGAAGAAATCACAAGCTACACATTGTTTACCTGTACAGCTTGTGGGGAGAGGAAAGAAAGCAGGAAGAGGAAATCTCTCAATTTACACCCATTCATGAATAAGAATGTGTTTTTTTTTTACCATGAGCTGGTATTCCATTTTTTAAAATTGTTACAAGTTATTTAATGATCTCCTTATCAATAGGAGATCCTTATCAATAGGAGATTATTAAATAACTGCAGTACATCTACAGGACAGAACAATATGTTCTTGTAACAAGTGAAGTAGCATGAGAATTGTATTAGTTACATAAAGTCAGAATTTTTAAAAAAGATTTATTTTTACTGTGAAAGAAAAAGATAGTGTCATACTCTTATGAAGAGAAAGGCACTATCTGTACTAACATTCAGGGTGTGACGGGATGGCTACATTACAGAGTGATGTGCACAGAAAACCCCTGTGTATCTCAGAAATCCCATATACATAACAGAAACACCTGGTCTATGATATACTGGAAACCATTGCTGACACAAACTAGTGGGTATATATCCCTCTATATTTTTCCTATGTACACATACAACATTCTATATTCCTAAAAAGATGGCACAAAAAGCAAACCAACTTCAGAAGGACAAGCCAGAGAGTCCTTGGGGGATGTCCTCCAAGGAAACTCAAAAGGGCAGCAGCTAAGCCTCCTTGGAGAAGGTGTCTGGGAAGAGCATCCAATAGAACTGCTCCCTTCATTGTTTGCAAGAGCAATCCACGAAATGCAAGGCTGTCTACTTCACACGACTTCCTGAGGATATGGGTAGAAAACATTTCCAGTAAAAGCTTCACTAAAATGTTATACACTGAAAATTAAAATACAAACCATTCCTCTATGTGCCAGTGTCATCTGCTAATTTGTACAACATCTTGTTTCAATGATCTGAGAGGCCTACAGAAATAGGTAGAGTAACCAGTCTATCAACTATGCTTAGAAAAGAAAAAAATACATATATACATGAAAAAAGACACAGATAAGGTCTGGCTGTGTCCCCATCCAAATCTCATCTTCAGCTGTAGTTCCCATAATCCCCATATGTTGTGGGAGGGATCTGGAGGGAGGTAACTTAATCATGGGGTCAGTTATCCTCATGCTGTTCTCGTGACAGTGAGTGAGTTCTCACGAAATCTGATGGTTTAATAAAGGGCTTTTCTCCATTTTGCTGGGCATTTCTCTTTGCTGCTGCCATGTGAAGAGCGATGTGTTTGTTTTCCCTTCTACTGTGATTGTAAGTTTCCTGAGGCCTTCTTAGTCATGCTGAACTCTGAGTCCATTAAACCTTTTCCTTTATAAATTACCCAGTCTTTGGTATGTCTTTATTAGCAGTGTGAGAAGGAACTAATACAGACACAAAGAAAACACACAAAGTGATAACAAATTTGCTTCTACGCAATGGGACTAATCATGTCTCCTCCTAGTTATGCATTTCTGCAAAGTATGCACAGTTCACAATAAACATATTTTGCTTCTAAATAAAAGATTAAATCTTTCAGAAGAAGCTCACAAATGTAGAGTTTTCTCCAAAGACTTAGAGCCAAGGCAAGGGCAGGCAGGCAAGAGCACTGCTGTGTGGCAAGCACAGGCACAGGCCATGCCCAGGCCAGCCTCACCATGGGGCTGAAGATGGAAAAAAGGCCAATTCCAAGGCTGATCCTGTTCAGAAGACAAAAAATGAGCTCAGACAAGCAGCTGTTCCTGTCACAGTCACCTGAGGAATTTCACCCTGGGGACACTGAGAGATGTGCAGCAGATACCATCTTAATCAGCATCCCCGATAGCACTTACCTTTTCACCCCAGGATGCCCCAACCTTGTGCAAAAGACTTTGTCTCCACTCCACAAGAATGCAACATACGGTTCCTTGTGAAAAGAGGATGACAAAGGTGAAATCAGTTAATTTACAAATATAAATCTCTTCAGCATTTTACTTTGCTGAAGAAAAAGTCCCCTTTAAAGACGAGCAAGTGTCCCTAATACTTAATGTGGTGACATCCTGGCCCCAGATATTAAGTGAGATACTAAGTCCTACTGACCAAGGCCATGAGCTCTTGGACCCACCCACAATATCATGTGTTATGCAACAGGACCACAGACTCACAAATTTGAACTTTAGGGCAAGTGAATAATTTCCTACATGGAGTATAGATGAAAGAAGAAAAAGCACACAACTTCTTCAAGGGTCCTTGGGTTTAACGGACACAAATTTTAAAAGCTATCTCAACTCTTAAGTTTAAATAGTAAACAGGTAAATATGTTAAACATTTACATAGAAAAACTCCTTCAAAACCCAAGGATGCAGAAAAAGGGGAAGAGATTATGCTGAAGTCAAAAGATCTATACCTATAAGAAGTCAGTGATCCGACTGTTAATTTGACTGACATGTAAATGGCATCTGATGATACTGACAATCTAACTGGGTTTCTTATTCCTTGCTCTGACAGGGACAAGTTGAGTGATCCAGAGACATCACCCTGACTGGCAAATGCCCTGTGAGGAAGCTGGTGCACTGCTGATCCAATTCAGCAGAGAGCTATCCTACCATAGCAGGCCCAGCATTCACTCACTCTGTGACCCACAGTCAGTCATCAGAACCAAAGGAGACCACCTCCTTGTGCCCACCAACCAGTGAGGTCAACCATCCAAAACCATGTATTTCTGCATTTCTAGGGTAAAGAAATAGACTAAGTTCAAATATTGTTTGTCACTGGAAGTTTGATTGCCTTAAGTCTTGCCTGGACCTCGTGGCTCACAACTGTAATCTCAGCACTTTGGGAGGCTGAGGTGGGTGGATCACAAGGTCAGGAGCTCGAGACCAGCCTGGCCAAGATGGTAAAACCCCATCTCTACTGAAAATACAAAAATTCACCAAGTGTGGTGGTGGGTGCCTGTAATTCCAGCTACTCAGGAGGCTGAGGCAAGAGAATGGCTTGAACCAGGGAGGCAGAGGTTACAGTAAGCAACCCTCTGCAGTTTCAGTGAGTTGCAGTGAGATTGTGCAACTGCACTCTAGCCTGGGTGACAGAGTGAGACTCCATCTAAAAAAAAAAAAAAAAAAAAAAAAAATATATATATATATATATATATATATATATATATATATATCTTTCCTGGGCCCTTACAAAGCAAGAAGCTCACAAAGCCTGTCTGTGAGTAGATACATGACTTGAAAAAGTGTACTTCCCAAAAGATCATGCCACTTTGCTGTTGTTTCAAATCAAAACTCTCCAAACCATTGTCCACGTCCAGCTCTCTACAGGTCAGTGCAACCCCAGGACCAAGACTATGAACACTGAGTTGGAACTTTGCTGGCTGGCAGATCCAGCAATATGGCCCCCTGGCTCTGGGGCTACTGTCACCCTGCAGTGCCTCAAGCGTTCCCTCTGGCAGAAGCAGGTTAGTAACAGTGCTTGCTGCAGATGGTTGCAGCAAAGGCTGAATAAAATAATGCAGGCAAAGAACTCAGCACAGTTCCTGCATGGAGGAAGAACTCAATGAATGTTAGCTATTACTGGAGGTAATGATGACAATGCTAAGGTGGCAATGACAACCTCAGCAATGTTATTAATAGCAACCACATTACTGAGCCAATGGGAGAGCCCAGATATGCCCTGAAGCAGTATAAATTAAGTGATATGGAATATTTTTAATGTTCATTTCAGTATAATCGAACCTGTAAAAAAGTGGTCAGCCTAAGCCCCGAGACTCTGAAAAAGCAAAACCCTCCCCTGACCCTGGCATCCACTACACAGACTACCCACTTGCCCAGTGATGACAGATGGGGCTGATCATCAAGGTTTTATGAAGAAAAACACCAAGGTACCACTCTGAGAGGGGTGCTGGGATTATCTGTGGTATCTGTGGACAAGCATGTCACAATACTGCTTTGCTATCTTCCGGAGTTCAGCAATGTGAATGGGGATACTTGTGTCCTGACTTGATACAGCTGATAAACCATGCTTCCTTTCTATTACTATTCATGTCTTATCTATGACTCCATCTAAAAGCTGGTAAGCCTTTTAATGGGTAGGAGCCAAGACAACCTCCAAGCCTTCCCTGGTCTAAACCACTGCCTAATATCAGAATGTGCTGGATACATAGTTTTGATTTAGGATGGCAATCTCTGATTGATATGTAGAGTATACTAAGCATAATATTTATTAAAAGAACAACCAATGACACATATGTGTTAGATGGCATGGGTTTCCTCAATTTATAAAGTAATTCTGGTGCTTTAACAGGTGTTTTGAAAGTATTTTTAACTAACTGAATTATAAATTTTCTTATATGTGGTATTCATAACAGCCGATTGCTTGCAAAAGTAAAAGCCACTTGTGACTTCCAATTTGAAATATCTGAAAAATTTAGAAAGCAGCTGAGCTAAAATTAATCTCTGCACTTGTCAAAGAGGGGTCACTGGGCTGCAGCTGTGTTAATTCATTATGAGGGCTTCCTAAACACTGACTGATACTGAAGAACGCTTGTGTGCTACAGAGGCACCTCTGGGCAGGACTGCTCACTGCTCAAACATCAGAAGCTCTGCTGAGTTCAATTCTCAGGGCAGCCTCCTAGTCACTGTTAACAGGTGATGCTGTACAGAGACTCCCTTCCAGGATGGTTTAAAAAACAGATGAGGAAAGAATTCAGAGTAAACTGAAAAATTCACATTTTGACCAATATTTTAAAATTCACTTAGTCCCCAAAATTTCCCTAGGAAAGGCATGCAAGCAAGGCAAGTAGATTTCCCTTTCTACAGACAAAGAAAACTAAACTGAGTTTATTTAGTCAATGAGTGAAATACTTAAAACATTCTGCCTCCAACTCCAGCCACCTTCCTATGGCTACTCACATGGCCCTAGCCCCCCTTAGGGCCTGTGTACACAGGACACATGTAGTCCCCTCACAACTCATAGAGGGGCCTCCTCCCCGTGACACTCTCCGTCTTTGAGATCATAACTCAGGGTATCATGACCCGGTCTCCCCAGGACTTCCTGCTTCTCACATATCTTGGTGTCATTAATAATTGCAGGATTATGCCACTCTCAAAAGTGTCCCTGTTCAAGTCATAAATCACATGGTCACCTATTTACAACACAAGTCCACATCCCCCAAATTGAACGTGGGACTAAAGGTCTGCCGAGACGGGTGGCTCCTCACACCAGGGCAGATCAACCAAGAGGAATGTAGGGGACTCAGGACCATCCCCCCTTTATTTCCACCTGACCACATTTTAACAGAATCCAAATCTCATCATGCAACTCTGCACAGAGGTACACACCGAGAAGAAGGCTTGTCCCTTACCCCAAGCCCTGGCCCCAGCCCAGAGAGGCCAGGGAAAAGAAGACAGAAGGGTTATGAGGAGCCCCAGGGATGGGAGAAGTCCACCAAGGGCCTGTGTGCGTGTCTAGGTAACCTGCACTCATCTGTAGCAGATATGAAATCTCTGTGCCTCTTTACACTGAATAACAAAGGCAATTCCAGAAAAGACACCTGAGCTAGACTCAAAACTGATGAGCCAATTTCTACCATTTTTCAGGTTGAATAACAGTATTTTCTTGAAGAAGGGATGTAGGCATGACATGAGATGTGCAGAGACACTGTTCCCATACCTACTCCTTCCCTGATGACAGAAGCTGTAGCTGAGCACTTTGGCAGGTACCTCAAAGAGTCCAGATGACCATGAAATGTAACAAAAGCTCAATCTCACTAGTAAGCAGGTCCATGAGAATCAAAACTACAGAAAAATACCACACACACCTGCCAGAATGGTAAAAATTAAGAAGACAGAAACTTCAGAAGCAGTCAATGCCACATGGGGAGTATGGTGAGAGCAGGCAGTAGAGTGCCCCAAAAGGTACCATACCAACATCAACCACTCACGCCGAAGTGCGTGTGGTCACAGCCAGTCCATCCACCGCAGAAATACCTGTGCTTCTTTACCAAAACACATGTGTCAGTATGGTCAGAGCAGTTTTGCTTATAATTGCCCCAAACTGGAACCGTCTAAATATCCATCAGCAGCAGAATGAATATATGATATGGTCAAACATCAGTATACTATGGACAGCAATAAAAATAAACAAGAAACAACACAGGCCTGCCTCACACATGTGATACTGAAAAAAGGAATGCACAAAAATGTATCCTTTGATTGCATTTACATAATTTAAAAATAGGCACAGCACAGGACTTTTAGGGCAATGAAACAATTCTGCATACTGTAAGGATGGATCCATATCATCATAAATGTGTACAAACTCATAGAATGGCCAACACCAAGAGTGCACCCTCATGGAAATGATGAACTCTGGGTAATGAGGTGTCAATGTGGGGTCATCAACTCTAACAAATACATGGCTCTGGATATGAATGTTGACAATGGGGGAGGCTGTGCATGTGTGGGGGCAGGAGGCATATGGGAAATGAGTACATGCCCCTCAATTTTGCTGTGAATATAAAACTGCTCTAAAAAATAAAGTCTATTAAAAAGTTATAAACAAACAGGCACACCTAAACAAACAGGTTGCAGGATACAAGCTCAAAGACAAATCACCCACAGAGGTCAGTGGCAGGCACCCACGTTCACAGGAGGACCCTGAGGAAGCCTTCAGGGACTGGCCCGGGTAAAAGGCACAGCAGGCCTCTGTGATGCTTCACTCAGCTGCACCTTCCTCTGCACGCTCTACTGCCTGCTTCTTAATAACAAATGCAAACCCTGATTGTCTTAAAACTCACTGCTGATAAGCTGGGAGACAAAAGAGTGCACTGTCACTCTCAACCTGAGCTCTCACTAGCACCGTCCCCCACAGCGGGAGTGTGGGAAAGGAATTAATGTCCAAAGAGCATGGACAGACAGGCAGAGC